TGTGTATGTGTGTGTGTGTGTGTGTGTTTGTGTGTGTGTTTGTGTGTGTGTGTGTGTGTCTGTGTGTTTGTGTATGTGTGTGTGTGTCTGTATGTGTTTGTGTGTGATGAGAGAAAAAAATGTGTGTGCAGTCCTAACACAACATGCAAGAACATCCAGAAGTTCAGAGGTTAAAGGTCAGATACAGCTGGATGGGAGTGGTTAATGTAACTTGAGAGTGAGGTGGTTTTACGCCTCACAGGTAAAGGTGAAGACACGACGGCTTCAGGAACATGGCCGCTCTCCTGAACACGTCCGCAGGGTTAAACTGAGGAAACTTGGATCTTTAAGGGCGATCGTGGCCCAAGAGGTGGGAGTTCACCTTGTAATCGGAAGGTTGCCGGTTCGAGCCCTGGCTCGGACAGCCTTGGTCGTTGTGTCCTTGGGCGAAACCTTGTGTAAAGCACTATACAAATACAGGCCATTTACCATTTTAAGCTCGAAGTAGTTTGTGTTAACGAGCTGTGTGCTACAGAAGCTGACCTCTGCTGAGTCTCATCCTCCAACACAAACGTGCGCAGCTGGATGTCTGAGCGGTCGTTCCTACTTCTACACCTGCGTGACGTGGATGGACGAAGCCGCTCGCTCGGCATCTGACGGTGATGTTAGCGTCGCTGGGACCCGAGCGTACTCGCATATGTGGAAAGTGAAATCTCTGCTTTACAGTTTTCCCGCTTATTTATTTTTTCGATAAATTAGACAGATGAAGCTCCACGTGAAGAGGAAGATGAATGACAGTGAAACCCTGAGCAGGTCAGCGGCGCCCTGCTGGATGTCGGGGGACGAACACGGGAAAAGATTTCACGAAGACTGCAGTGATTTCACCGAGAGCCGACTTTGTTTGGCTAACCTGAGACTGATCAGTGCAGCGGGAGAGTGTTTCAGGCTGAGGATGTTTATCCTGCACTGAGTCCAGCTCACTGAAACCAGCTGCTGTGACATTTAGCATCTGTCACCCATGAGGGAGAGTGTCCCTAACCGACCAATCAGCACGCAGTATCGGCTTCGCTGTGAGAAAATCTGAAGGACGTTTGTGCGGTTTTCTTTTAGGTCATCGATGTGCCTCATAGATAAAATGGTTTTATCTGGAAGCAGCGCCTTCATTAATTTTAATAATAATAATATTACTGGAATAGTGACAGTTTCTTTCTTTCTGTGTAAACAGTGCTCTAAGGACTCGACTCCTTTCTTGAAGAAGTTATTTTATCCTTTTCACTCCCTCCCTGTGATTCATTACAGGAAGTGGACGTGCCAGCGGATCAGCTCCAGCAGGATGTTCAGAAAGAAACTGTGTCAGAATATCTGTGGCTGTGATTGGTCCTCGTGGCTTGGAGTGACCCGTCCAGCGTCTCCTTGACTGCTTGGACTCTGCTACAGCAGCTTTGCATGATTCAGAGTTCAAAATAATCCTTCTTTGTCTCACTTTGGATCTCAGCAGCTGCTCAGTCTGAAACAAACTGTTTTAGCCCCGCCCCTTCTAAGGCCATCATGAGATATCGAAGCTCAACAGCAGGTCTCTTCTGATAGAAACGCTGCTGACTGTCCTGTGAATGTGACCCACTGTGGACCCACTGTGGACCCACTGTATGTAAAGAACTGGTTTCCATAACATCCCTCTGGTGACGTATGGTTGGCTGTCCAGGTCTTTATCAGGAACAAAGCCCCCCTTCACATTTTCCTAAACTCAGTCTGTGCCGGGCCAACTGCAGGTCCCGGGCCTTATGTTGGACACCCCTGCTTTGTGCCAGCTGTCTGCTGACGGTCACGCGGCCACATTAAGAGCGTCGTGCAGGTGTTTGGCTCACAGAGGTCACTGCTGCGTAAACTGGTGACCTTCGATCTGATCCTCAGAGCTCTCACCAGCACTTCTCATGAGCCTTTAAAATCATGTCACATGTTGTACACACACGCACACACGCACACACACACACGCACACACACACACGCACGCACACACACACACACACATACACAAGTATAAAGTCATTATTTTATATTCTTATAAAATAATGATTTTAGACCACTTCTTCATAGAGCCATGAGGAAAAAAACATTCCAATGATTGTAAATACTTTCACAACTCATTAAATATTGAAAGAAAAATGCTA